AGGAAGTGCGGGAATTTAGAAAACGATGCATTTTTAATTGTTCTTACTTCTAGCATTAATATATAATAATTTCAGGGACAGACCAGTTATAAGTTTTATCGCTAAAATGTTGTTTGATAACAGTTATTAACATGAGAAATATTTTTTTATTTCGTCGATAAAAGTAGTAAACCAACGATTGTTTTTTACGTTGCCTGATAGGTGATGCCAGATGAATATTTTTTTTTGCCGATGAGAGTTATTTTCCAACGTTTATTTTTTACGATGTCTGACAAACGTTGTGAGATAAAGATATTAATGAAGATGGAGATGGTGAATAAGATAAAGATGATGGAAATAAAAGTGAGATAGTAAAATAACTCTTATCTGGCAACGTAAAAATAAAAGCCTGGCAATAACTGTTATCAAGCAACGTAAAAAATAAACGTTGGGCACTAACTTTGATCAAGCAACGTAGAAATTAAACGTTGGTTTATAACTCTTAACGGCGAAACATAAAATATTTCATATCTAATAACTCTTATGAAATGACGTGTTCGTTAAATTTCAGAATTCGGTCAACGCTTTGAATTTGAAAATTCGAGATAACAGTTATTTTTGGTACCTGAATAATAAAAAAAATTGACTTTTTTCATTCTTAGCTATGTAGCTTTAGAAAGCAAAATAAAATAGTTTTGGGCTGGTGGGGATCTAGTTACTACAAATTTTATTCGCTAACTCGGGTTTTCCCTGCAGGGTACATATGTACATACGTGCATATCTTCATACATATAATATACACTTGAGGTATTCACAGTGCATTCCAAAATTAGTTCTTTAGCATCAAACTGTGATCAACTCTTTTCCAGCAGTCGTTACAAAATAAAAGCGAAACCAATAAAAGTGTGGCCAGACTGTCCTCTTTGCGTTAATTCAACATTTACAATTGCGTATTGGAAAACAAAAACCTCACAGATATTATGGTTTGAAAAGATACAAAATGTTGACGTCAACGTTTTGGAACCCATTTAGGAACGAACTGTGAATACCTCAACTGCATAATGCACGCCAAAAAGCCATTGAACTCTTGGCAAATGATCGCGAATAGTCGGCGATCGCACACTCCTTTCCTTTGTTGTGGTTTCGAAGAGCAAATGAAAGAAAAAAAATAAATGCATTAAATAATTCAATACTACTTACATATTTGTAGTAAAAAAATAGAAATGGCAATTATGCGCACGACCACGCACAAGTGTAAGTAAGCGTAAAAGTTTACGAGTCAGCAAAGGCAACAAATGCAAAATTTATATATACGCAGATCAAAATCTCCCGGATGGAATAGGAAGCTTGGATCGCGAAATGCGGGAATCCAATTGCCAAGATCCTATAGATCTTTAGCCAAAAAATTTTTTTCATTATAGTTATAAGCTAAGTGTATACCAATTCATACATTTTTATGACGGTACATATTTTTAGGCTTATTTTTTAGCATAAAAATCCGAGCTCTAATTATTACGAGTAATGACGTTTACTTCGAATGACTAATGACCATCTAAAATCTTCTTGAATAAATAGACAAAAATGTCTCAGCCATGCTACAAAATCCTTATCCCCTACATAGATGTCCCTAAACTATGTGCCTATGTTTAGGAGAGAACTGAGAGTGCTAATCACACTGAGAGAAGGTAATTGCAAGAAACTGCGCTTGAAGTAATATAAACCTATTACAAAATTGGTTCTAACCCCACGTCTCCACCTTCTACAGATTCTGTTAAAAAAGCAGTGTTAAGACAGAAATGTGAGGTGGAGACCGCAAATTTCCACTGTTAAACCATATCTGTCTTGCCGAATTTCTTACCATCGCTGTCTTAACATCTGCTGTTATTTCGTAGTTTGGCAACTCAGTTTTCATTTTACCGCCCCCATCTACATTGGATACAGATCGATCTGACTGACTTGATGCCATTTTGAAAGTGATATGTTAAGACAGCAAGGTGCCCACATGAGAAAACGGGACAAAGTTAAAACGGAAATTTTACAGATGTCAAGACACAGATAGTAGAAAATGGAGACATGGGGTAAAAGCTTGGGAAATTATATCATTAAATTAAAATCATAACCGAAGTACTGGAGAACTTTAAAACCTTAGGACCAGTTCCCAGAGAATGTTGTATTCCATAGCGAAGAGAAAGGGGAGCAGTTTCGCCAGTGCTTAAAAAACTATTGAAGAGAGGTACCAATACCGATGGCTCCTTGGCATCAAACCACTGTTGGCCAGTGTAATCGGTACAGCTCTGACATTTTTACACAACATAGAAGTGGAGGTGGCGGTAATTTCTGCTTACACACTTTTCGGAAAAAATTTTGCTAATTTTTGTACAAAGTATGAAATATTGACTCACATGGTCTTTGGTAGATAACGAGCTACACCTTCATAAAAAATAATAAACATTAAATAATCGAAAGGGGAATAGCCCAAGAATGCTAAAATATCTCTTATCTTTTTATTGGTGGTATTATCACTGGCGGTACTTAATGAGCTGGAAATGTGGTTCCACCTCCTTCCGCTGCTCATTCTCCTGTAAGAACTATAATGGCGAATGGTGAAAGACTGAAGCCCACCGTCAATGAACTGATTAGGCCTTATCAGTGTGGCTTTAGATCTGGAAAATCCACCATAGACCAGGTATTCACAATACGCCAAATCTTGGAAAAGACCCGCGAGAAAAGGATCGACACTCACCACTATTTGTCGACTTTAAAGCCGCCTTTGACAGCACTAAAAGGAGTTGCCTATACGCCGCGATGTCTGAATTTGGCATCCCCTCAAAACTCATACGGCTGTGTAAAATGACGTTGAGCAATACCACCAGCTCCGTCAGAATTGGAAAAGACCTCTCCGAGCCGTTCGCCACAAAACGGGGTTTCAGACAGGGCGACTCCCTTTCATGTGACTTCTTTAATCTGATGTTGGAGAAGATAATAAGAGCTGCAGAACTGAACCGCTCAGGAACAATTTACTACAAGAGCGTGCAATTGCTGGCTTATGCCGATGACATCGACATCATCGGTAACAAAAACCGCGAAGTCTGTTCTGCCTTTTCCAAGTTGGATAGGGAAGCAAAGCGCATGGGTCTGGTGGTAAACGAGGACAAGACGAAGTATCTCCTGTCATCAAACAAACAGTCAGCACATTCGCGCCTTGGCACCCACGTCACTGTTGACAGTTACAATTTCGAGAAAGTAGAGAATTTCGTTTACTTGGGAACCAGCATTAACACCGATAATAATGTCAGCATTGAAATCCAACGTAGAATCACTCTTGCCAACAAGTGCTACTTTGGACTGAGTAGGCAATTCAGGAGTAAAGTCCTCGCTCGACGTACGAAAACCACGCTCTATAAGTCACTCATCATGCCCGTGCTGATATATGGCGCAGAAGCATGGACAATGACAACATCCGATGAGGCGCCTCTTGGAGGGAGGCCCCCACTGCGATGGAAAGATCAGGTGAAGAAGGACTTGGCTTCACTTGGCGGTTCCAATTGGCGTCAGTTGGCACAGAGGAGAAACGACTGGCGTGCTTTGCTGAACTCGGCCAAAATCGCTTATACGGTTACAGCGCCAAAAAAGAAGAAGAAGAAGAAGATTATCACTGGCGCAGCGAATTAATTTGGCGAAGCGAACGGTTTGGCGCATAGCTCCCTTATATTCTATGTCCTTTGTGATAACGAAAGTGCTGCCACGTTTGTGCGAAAAATTGTTTTTGGGCCAGAGTACAAGGAGACGCTTATTAAATTAACAAAGAAAACACTGAAATCGGGACACTTATACGTCCCGAATTTTAAAAAAAATATTCAGCGGGACAATTTTCTCAAAATCGGTACTGCCCGCCAAAATCGGTACGAATGGTCACTCTTACATCAAAGGTATGATATGTATGTATATCGGCGATGGGCATCGCCTTGCCCGCGGGCAAAGCTATTTTAAGCTTTCTATACATTTTGTATAGGCATGCGCATAGTAAAAGCTCTCTCTAACAATCGCGGATGTGTATTCAAACATAAGGCAGTGTTCTCCAGAGAGAGCTTTTAGTTTGTGCCAGCCGAATTTTAAACGTACAGAAAGCTTAAAATGCTTAATCTGCGTACATCTGTAGCAAGAGTACAAACCATTCGCAGGAAAAAAAATGTCAAGCTTTTAACCGGAAAATCCTTTTTTTCAAATGTCAAGTACATCTGTGCTCTGCTAACATCAGCGTGCTCTGAGTTGAATACATACTTTCAAAGCTGGAGCGTCGGTGTCCATTCGAACAACATAGCCAAGCCAGCGGAGCCGGAATTCATCGTGGGACATAATCGAAGAAACCATCCCAAAAATGCTTTGCTTCAAAACGATCCGCTCGCCCAACAAGTGAGACGGCACCTACACAACTGGAGGCTCCACATCGAGCTGTACATAGAATATCCGTTGGACACAGAGCGGCACTCAAGAAATTTCCACAGCGATGCCGTCAGGACGAGTCTCAGTACTCGCAAAGACAACATGCTACTAGGTGGTCGACCGTCGCCTATCGATATCGAAGAGGGATTAAATGCACCCTAGCATTACTTCGTTCAGGGTGGTGCCACAGACTCAACATCTTCCCTACGTAAACTAGATAGACTCGACCGAGTCATTCCGATTGCCAATTCCATGTGAACAAATATTCCCAAAAATTATAAAGCACAACAAAAACAATTTTTCCCAATTTGTTTTTGTTTGCCTGTTTTATTATGGGAACGATTTGTACACATGGAATTGGCGATAACAGCACTCAAAGGAAAATATAACAAATTAATTAACGATTGCATTTGTATATAGCATCTTTTTTATTATCGGTATTAGTTATTTTAATAATTGTTTTAATTTTAATATAAAGTTTGCCTTACATTTTTAATTTAAAATTAATTGCCACTTTTTAATTTTAACAAATAGCACACGACATAAACACGTTTATTTTTTATTGAACATTTGTTTCATTTTTTATCTGCATACATACATACATATATGTGGATAAACATATACATATATGCACATAGTGCCCGTGCACAGCATGGTTTATCTGCTTAATATTTGCACATATTCTGTATGTATATATGAACTATATAACTTTTTACTCCAGAATAAAATCGTATAATTTTAGTTTTTCATGAATTTATCTGTTTAAATGTATTTATAATATTGTATATATAATCTATAATCTTCAACATACATAGAATGTAAATATCAAGTTTCAAGGTATATATAGATTCTATTTGTTTTTTTTTCACTTGTTCAAATTTTTTACTAAGCCCAATTGCAAAAATCAGAAAATCCGATGCCATGAACTTATCACCGAGTTCATCCATATTATGCTTTGCCTCGTGCTCGCTGTCGTTTACATCTGACTTTCACTTTGAATTTTGAAATATTTCATTTATTGCTAATTTTTGCAACTGTTTGGGGCGTTTTACAGCTCAGTTGTTCATTCGTACAATCGAATTGCTTTAATTTAATTTAATTTAGATGTAATAGTTTTCTAATTAATATTTCAAATTTTGTATAACGCCCCCAAGATCTATAATTTAATTTATAAGTAGTAGTTTTCGTATAGATGAAAGAGCAATTTAAAATTATCGTCTATATTGCGCGCATATCCAAAATTTATTAATTCAATCATTCATTGGGTCGATTTTAATTTATAGGAGAGAAAATATGTAAAGCTGTAACATAAAAAATCAGCAACATTTATCATAAAAATACTTAAAAGTAAATTGTTGTATTTCTAATACACCCCCATGCGAAGATATTTTCTTACAAACTTCTTTTTTCCTACGTGATAAGCACATACATATGTATTTTTGTAATTGTCGCGTCAGCGTGTATGTTTTGACGCTTAAGAAGTTGGCAGAAATGAAAAATATATATGATTCCTCTAAGGCTAATATATTACACACTAAGCTGATAGATATCTTCGTTACAATACTATCAGCGCCATTATTACTACCAATTGCATCTCACTTCTACAAAACCCAAACTTCAAAAAGTCGGTGTACTGTATGTGTTGTTGCTGCTTAGTGTTAATTTCATCTATTGTCGTATTGTATTAGCATTGTATATCCGTGGTCACACCTTTAATACTTTCCGAACTAAAATGCACGCAACCGTATTTGCATACCAATGTCCATACGTACGGAATGAAAAACTCCTCAGGCGCATCTTCCTCAACATATTTGAATTTCAAGTCAGGGAATTTCTGTATTACAAGAAATTTAATAAACAAACATTTTGCTAAATAAATGGCTTGACAAAATACTTACCCTAAGCCGGTCACTCGACCATTGACTGGCACCTTTAGATATCACCTCAAACACCTCGTTTACGCCCAGTTCTCCACGCTGCTCCTGAACTCGCTGCAGACGCGAGGAAAAGAATCCTACAACCTAAAAAGAGTACAAAAATTTTCGTAAGCAATGTGAAAATGGCAATATTTCTAAAATGTTTAGCATCTCTCTCTCTCTCTCTCTATTCATTACCATATCTATGTTCTGTATTATATCTTGAAACGCGTGATGGCTGCGGAAACTTTCGAAAACACTTCGTTTATATAGTAAAGTGTAGACCAGATTAGGGCAGTAAACCAATTGATTGGATAGACAAGAGTTAAGTATCTCTAAAACCATCCGTAACACCTCTTCTAACACTGTGAGATCTTGTAGCATATCCTCAGGCGTGGTGTTAACGTTCACGAAAACTCCATTATTAACAGGTTCTTTCAGCTGCGCATCGAGACGCGTGTGCTTACGCGCTANAGAAAATGGTAATATTTCTAAAATTTTTAGTATCTCTCTCTCTCTCACTCTATTCATTACCATATCTATGTTCTGTATTATATCTTGAAACGCGTGATGACTGCGGAAACTTTCGAAAACACTTCGTTTATATAGTAAAGTGTAGACCAGATTTGGGCAGTAAACCAACTGATTGGATAGACAAGAGTTAAGTATCTCTAAAACCATTCGTAACACCTCTTCTAACACTGTGAGATCTTGTAGCATATCCTCAGGCGTGGTGTTAACGTTCACGAAAACTCCATTATTAACAGGTTCTTTCAGCTGCGCATCGAGACGCGTGTGCTTACGCGCTAATGTTTCAAAAAGGGATATAAGTCTTTGCGCTACATATGGATGTAATGCGCGAAACTGCCCAGACATATTCGCCAGCGCCGCCAGACAGTTTGTATGCAAATATTTATCACGCATTTTCAACATATTATATTGAATAGTGCGTATGACAACCAGGATTAGAAGACCACCCAGCGATATCTCCGATATGGTGCGCTCTGTGTACCAATGGATATTTTTAAGCATCTAAAATAGAGACGAATGTAAGTAAAATATTTTTTTAATTGAGCTAATGGATTTGCACTCACTATATTATGCACATTCTTGTTGAATCCATCATCCTCACTAAGTATTAGCAGGACGATTAGTGACATGTAGATGTGATGCGAAGTACTATCCGGAGCATGGTACAATGTCTGCAATATAGGTATCACCAAATTCTCTAGGTCATTCTGCGCCATTACAAAGCGGTAGAAACGTTCATTTCGATGTAGCAAGAGATATAACAACAATGTGGCTTGGTCGATAGTCACAATACGACATAAAGTCTCGTAAACGGAGGTGAAGTCGATCTGGAAAGAAGCGCCTTCCTTCGGCGAATCTTTCGAATCAGCGCAGCCAAATAAGCTAGCGCGATATGGATTATCTTTAGTGGTACAGTGATTTGTTAGTATAAGAATCAGTAGAAGACTTTGATTTGCAAGTGGATAGTGTTCACGAAATTGTTGCGAAAGTTCAGCGCCAGTAGCGCCAGTTGCTTTCAGTACATCCTGTTGTTTGCGGAAGGTGAAAATAGAAAGCAACGACTCAGCGATACCAAAAACGAATGAACCAGAAGATGAAGAGCCAAACATGGTATGTGGTACTTCAACCATACGCGCAACATAATGCAATAGTGCGGATACAAGCACATTTGCATGCTGGCATTTGTATATAGTTCTGGAAAAGGAATTAAATAAATCCATGCCAATTAAAGTCAAATACCTTAAAAAGTTACCTAAAAATTATTAATTTCTCTGTGGGTTGCTCGGTGAATAAGTGTACGGAGAGAAGAGTGATGAAAGTATTCACTGCCTCCAAATGCAAGTGATATGTGAACTCCCTAAAAAGACAAAAATGGTGTTAGAAAAATTAAGCCTAACTTTTATCCGATCTCTTTTACTTGACTGGAATCACCACAATCAGATTTACAAGCGCGTCGATGAAAGACTCAAACTTCGCGCCATCAACAATTACTGCTGCCTTTGCGAGCACGCTACCAGCAGCGCCATCCTCGGTGGCCTCAACAGCGATTGTAGTACAGTCAGCATGTGCGCCAGTGTTCGCTGCGCCTTCTTCTGCCCGCAATAACTCTTCATTAGGTATCGCTTCGAAGTGTTGCAAAAGCTGAAACTCGGACCCAGTCTCAATGATGTACTTAACTAACGAACGTATTATAAACAGGGCATTGAATGTTTGCCATATGTGCAGGTTGCTTTCTTTATCAGACAAAGAAAGTAACTCAGCGGCTCTTTCAAGAAACACAGATACCAGTGAGCCAAAGTTGCCTGTTTTAAGATTGTTACTTATGAACGATTGGCAGAGTGCCTCAAGACGTGAGTCCAAACTTAACTGATCTTGACTGTAAAACAAGCAAAGAAACGTTTATTAGGACGTGGGTGTGGTTCGAGGGGGTGGCGTTCACACGTCAGCTCTTCACACTTACCTATCCTCTGGCATTGTGATATGATAGTTCAATAGTGCATTCCAGTATGACGCGTCATCTTGTAGAATATGGGTACGTCCAACAAAGCGTTGCAATAGTTCATTCTCGGATAGAATAGCTTGTCTGCTGACGTTGATCCCCATGGTTTTACGAGTTTTACGCGCAGAGCAGAAATGCTGTCAACGTCGGCGATGTCTTTGTTGATCTGGTTTTCCAATCGCTCTGTCACCCTGCAACGCTAACGCCAACGTCAACGTCGCCAACAGGCACTTGCAATGCAAACCCAATTTTCTAAATTAGCCTAAAAAATTACACTGCTTTTTTTCAAACGTTTATTTGATCATTCGTCTACTTGATTCCAGTCGATAATTTAGATAAGAAATGGTTTTGAACAGAAATTTTACAATTTTCTTCACTGTTTTCGTTCTTTTATTTATTCTTGTCGGCGAATTTCAGACCAACTGACATGCAAGGCTGCCAACTCAATTAGCAATGAAGTACCATATTGAGGATAAAAAATGCCAAAAAAGGTGCATTCGTTTTAATTTTTTCCATTTGCCATTAAAATTAGAAACACATTCCTAAAACAGACAAATCAGTTGAATATACTATACAAATTATAAAATTTTTCTTGTGAAAAAGAAGTACACGCAAAGGATTTCACAAAAATATATTGAAATAGTTTTATTTGAGCCATTTAAATTAAAATAGGGCCACAAATGCTACGGTTTGAGCGAAGTTGGCAGGTCTGCTGACGTAGTTGGAAAACAACGCTGCCATATGAAAACATTAATTTTTTAGCATGGGCACTACACATGATCCAACTACACAATTCTAATTGGTTCATGGGCACTACATAATGGGTTCTTTCCAGTACGCAACGCAGGATCCCACGGGTGCCCAAAATAGCCCAGAAATCATTCCCGTATAATAGAGAGCGAAAATTGGAATGTATTGGATCGTAAGTGTCTTTTTCTTTTTGCCCGAAGCAACCCGGACTTTTTCGCCGGGTAAAAATGGATCAAGCGTCAAATGTTTCCCAAATTCTGGGCACGAAATGTGGGTTTTTGCGCTCCCGTACTTCTGGATTATGTTCCATTTTTGAGAGCAAACTTTTCGCTTATTCTACCGGATCCGGTCCGGATTGTTAGGGAAAGAACCTAATATGTAGTATTATATTATAATATTTCTTTTTCGACTGATCTTCAATTCAAGTATATTTCCAAAATTAAAGAAATAAATCCATATTAATAAATCGTTAAATAAAACAAAATCTGCAGCAAATATCTTATTGTCTTTCTAAAATAAAGATCTGGCTGCATTATGAAATGGAAGAAAATAAAAAACGTCGACCTGCGGAACAAAATAGGTTTGTTCCACGCGAGCCCGCGGGTGCCCTAAACTGCCCAGAAAGCGTTCCTCACGCTAGAAAAATTGGTAGAGATCCACTTTTGGATCGTAAATTTCTTCTTCTTTGTGCACGAAACAGCCCCTGTGCAAAAAGGCAATTTGAAATAACAGCTGTTGTGGTTTAAATCCGAAAGCAAATTTTATAAAAACAAAATTGGAAAATATCACAGAATTTTCAGAAAATGAAGTTATGTATTTTGTAATTTTATTAGCCATATAAGATAAATACACGTAAAATCATTATTTAGAGCTGATATGTTGATTCCGGGCACGAAATGTGGTTTTTTTCGTTCCTTACGCTCTGGACACTTTTGTCACATTTTCGACACTTGTGAGAGTAATTTTTTTTACGCTCTAATTACCGGAGCAGCGCGGAAAGCGTAAGGAACAAAGCTAATGCTGTGAAAAGGAAACTGCGATTGGTTCGAGTACCTGCTAAAGTGGATGTGATTTGTGGCATATAAAACAGCTGGTTTTGACTGTATAAAAGGAAGCGGAAGTTACATTATTTGATAAACAAGAACACTGGGAAAGAAGCGCACTTTCGATTTAATTTTACGTTAACTGCAGCAGTTCTAATATAAAGGGTAAAGAGCTCATCTTTCCACCTCTAGCCAACGAACACATGCATGGGCGTAGCCAGGTAGGGGCAGGGGGGTGCTGGAGCCCCCCCAACTTTCAAATTTTCCTTATATATATATAAAATAGTACCCTGAAATTCCAGCTTAATAGGGTCGAGCCATACCCCCATGCCCATTTCAGAATAGCTTTCAGTAAAAAGACAAATTTTAAGCAACTTTAAACAAAAATATGTATATTATGTATTTCGTTCAAGTTATCATCATCAATATAACTACAGTTTATTGCAATTATTTTTAGAATACGCTCGTTCAACGTCGCGAAAATTTTGCAAAATTCTGCAATTTATAAATCGCCTTTTCTATCTCTTTTAAAACAGGTTTGTTAGACATTCGTAACATATTGTATTCTTTTGTTAAAGAAAAATATATAATCGTTAAAAAAGCATAAAAATTTGTATTTGCACGTATACGGCTGAAGCTATACAAATATGTAGTATGTGCTTGAGTGCAATTGTAATAAAACAAAATAAATTAAATTTACAAAATATACATGTATTTGCCTCAGCTTTTGGACATGTGCTGGCTTTTTATTATATAAATGTATTTTTGCCATGCGTGAAGCCGCAAGACGATTGCAGTAGTATCACATAGTTTATGAGTGTCAAATGGCATAAAAACTTGCTACCGTACAAATTTCACTTGCCGCGACGACACATAACATTTTTAACAAATTTTTAAATTTCCAATCTTGCATGTACAATTAACATTTAATTTAGTTAATTATACTAATCTTGGAAACATCACTTGAGAGTTTATTGGTTTTATTGGCGTTTACTTTATGGCGTGCTATGTTGTTATAAGTATTTCCATTGATGAAATTTACAGGCAATTGCTGCTTTCAATTCGATAAGTGCGGAGCGGCAAATGTACTTGGAGAGTGCGTCCAAAATTAATGTATGCGGTCCATATAATGCGTTAAAGTAAAATTTTGAATTTTGATCGTGTTTGCCAATCGCGTCAAAATTATCACCTACAACTAGATTATACTATAAAATTAAATGTATGTATGTATGTATGTATGTATGTGTAGTGCATTAACATTTAGAAATTATATACAACTAGAAACTAATTGATTTTAAGGACGTTGTACGCATAGATGATTACGATGAATACTAAACGACTATAATTCAAAAATTAATCATAGCTGAATAGTTAAAACGATGAATATTATATAGTATACATACATAGGTATAACCTAGCGTTATTATAAACGTTGTAAAACGTTTGCCTAAACATGCACTCTCATGTAAATTCGCTGCTGTTACCACAATTATATAAAATTTTCAACCAGCATCTGCATCTCAAGTATTGATAATTTTGCACAACTTAAACACTTAAAATTTTCTTCTTTTTTTTTTGCTATTTTCAAATGTTTATTTTGCTTATTACTGCACTGCAGTTTGGCCTTGAGTTGATGTCCCTGTGTATTTCTTCCTCCACATCCATTATTTTACCAATTTCATGCCTCCAATGCAATATTCGTACGTGTAAGATGTTAATCGTACATCCTTTCAGGCATTCTCGCTTCACATCACTCGAAACTTATATTGTTTGCCTCTCTTCTATACATCAATCCCCTCCGTATCTCTTTCGCTTTTGCATCAAATTGATAATAATTTTTAAACGAAGTGCCATCTTATGCATATTTTCATTTAAAGTTTGCGTAGAGTAAGGGCAGCCTCGGAAGACTTATTAGCACCACTGCTGGCCAACATCTGCTTAAGACTAAATGAGGAGATCGCAATTCCAAAGACGGCCATCATTGTAGCAGAGCGTGACACAACACGGTCCGGTGTGGCTGTTGTGAAGACACTGCTGGCAGACTGGGATGAAGACTGAAATTTCAGAAGGTAGAAGAAAATGTTAATGATTTCTGTTATTAGAAAATTAAAATTTAAACTAAAAATATTAATATAATTAAAACTAAACCGTACATACAAAAATATGTACATATAATAATTCTAATAACTAATGCTTCGTGGGAAATAGAAAAGCACTTTCGTGAGGCTGACTATCTCTTCTGCTACTCAAAAATCTGTCTCTGCTGCTCCCAAAATCTAAATACAGCTTTATTAAATTTTGACCATAGTCAAAATTAAAAAAAAAAAAAACACTTTATCTAAGTTTGTGTGCCCGGACTAACTACGAGACGCATACGTTCCCACGACAGTCGGTTTTACGTAACCGGAACGACCCAGAATTATACCTGGCCAAGGACTGTCACTCCAGCAATACTACCCAAAAACTCTTTGGGGAATTTGTATGCTGTTGCAACAACAACAACGATACGCATATGTCGCTTTCGCCTATGGTGCTAAGGGTCGTTTTCAAAGACAATTAAACTGATGATGAAACTTTGACCCGGCTGCTCGCTTTGATGTATAGTGAAGATAACTGTCCCAGTAATCAACAATTAAACTCTCGTTCGGAAGTTGAATGAGAGTTAATTCTCCACTGTGCAAACTGCCCTAAATATATTTATATTAACTCTATTAAAAAATAAAAACAAGCCAAATTACAGAAATTCATTCATCAGAAGAGATAAGATACATAAATCGAATTCGGTAACATGCTTGGGTATCAGGAAAAGAATTGAAGTGACTGATAAGGAAATGGCGTAATACATATCCGTTTGTAAATTGCAGTACGCATGAAAATATTTTCAACTATTAAAATGGAATTTCCAGTAAAATGTTTAAGGCGCATTTTAAATGTCAATTTAATACTATCCACCCATCACGATTCCATTTTTTTTTGCCTGTGGCCATAAATACGAAATTTCTAAAACACCAAAAAGGCCAATTTGACAAAAGCAAGCCGGACGCCAGCGTTTTCTGTTAATTATAGTAAAATTGCATTTTTAAAAATAAACAAAATCAAAGCGTAAAAGAGAGCAAAACTGGCATTATGCCCGACAGGTGGTCATTCGAAAAGTATAAAAAAAAACCTATATAAGTACATACATACACATGTACTACGTATTTACATACATATACATGCACTTAACCATTGCGTTAACGCCAGATTAAAAATAGTAAGAACTACGCAAAAGAATTTGCGCCGCGTGGCATATGAAATATAATTAAATATCTTATTTTACTTTTTTTTTTGTTTTGGCGCTATAAGTTTATTTAGACGCCAGCAAAATTAGCTAAATGCCAGAAATCGAACAAATATAGAAATTTAAAGCAGTCAAAACAAATCAAAACTCAAGAAATAGCGGAACGCAAATCAAATTTGCGTGCAATTCCGTGCTCCACCCCATAAGAACGTGGCGGGGTGGCGCCGTTCATTGAACTGATAAGTCTAAGCAAACCTACCGGCAATCACAATATACAAGACGTATGCATGTACATATGAATGAGAGCGGGCACAAAGTATGCATAGACTTATGAAATGGACGTCTATTGAATGAGGGGACTGGGAGTAGAAGCCCACACTTTCTTTTTT